GCTTCAGCACAAATTGACCGGCTCGACCTCACAGGAAATCGAAGTGAAACAACGCTTGCGCCCATTGCATCCGTATTGCGTGGATATTTAATGAACTTAATAGTATTGAGTTTGGCTTTATATTTCGTACTCTGAATGCTATTTCAACAGCTACGATAGGGGTAGTATAGTTTTGACATTGAATAATTATTGAGATTTTATTGGATTGAAATTGCATTGACATTGAGATTGGGTTCAAGAGTAAGCTAACTAATCATAACTTTACAAGGAACTTTATTGAAGTATCGACATAAATAGGGCATCATTACCTATTTATGATCCGTGTACCACTATATCTCGACAGCTCGCTAAAAATGTAAGTGGTTGTGCTATGCGCAAGCGCACCTCTATCTACACTATTAGAAATAACAATGATGATGATATTATTATATTCATTAACTACATACAACATCATATTTAATTAACAGAACACAGATGAGATGTGAAAATAACAAGAGATATTGCATACAAGCATATAATTATTGTAAATGGTTATAACTGAAATGTTGTGCAATAATAATATAGTCAACGTAAATGTGTCGCAACTTGCATAAGCTTCATTTTACTAACTATTGTGGCAGATGTTGCATCACATAGCATTTTTGTTACGCCTTTTAATCCAAAAAGGGGAAGTAGAAGTCTACATCACTACATCGTATAAAACAAAGTTGCTATCCGCCGTCTGTCTGTCCCTATGTATGTTTAGATCTTTAAAACTACGCAATGGATCTTGATGTGGTTTGTTTTAATAAATAGCGTTTACAGGTATAATAAATGCATATTGCACCCGTGCGAAGCCGGGGCGGTTCGCTAGTATTATTATAAAAACGTAGCACCCACGTGTGGAAGAGCAATGACTGAACAAAGGGTCTCGGGTGTGGTTCCAGGGCCGGAAAAATACATAACATAACAGTACTCCTTTTATCCCCAAAAGGGTAGGCAGAGGTGCCCATTATGCCACTGTACAATGTAACACCCACTTTTCACTATTTATGTTATGAGCCCCATGTAATAGGGGGTGAACCTGTGAATTCCAAACTCTGCGCCACTACTGAGAATTTTTAAATCACGCTCCAATTAATGACTAATTTATTTAACACATAGAAAAGCAACAGCTATACCATTTGATTAAGAAGAATGTGATATCTAACATCTAATATCTTTAAACGAGCAACGAGACGCAACCAATGATCTCGGAAATGCTCAACGATTTTCTTGAAATTTTGTACTTATGGGGTTTCGGGGGCGATAAATCGATCTAGCTTGGTTTCATTTTCAGAAAATGTGTACTAAAAATGATACTCTCTACAATAATGCTAAATGATAGTTATTTCTGCAAATAGGCAACAAAATACGACATTTACATGTTAATAAATTAGATATGCGCCAGTATAAGGCAGGATATGCGGAGAATGAATAATTGTAACTTATTGCACAATATTTTTACAAATACTTATGTTGATTGATTGATTGATACATGGTCCACTCCGTTGATAAATTGGGAATTAACTCGTCGAGTACCGGTTTTATAGACACAATTAAAGAACAATAGGTCGCGGTCACCGGTGACCGCTTGGTGTTTGACAGTTTAAATTTACTTTCTAGTAAATAAAAAATGAAATTTTAAGTTAATGTCGTGGTGGCCCGGAGGTTTAAGACGCTTCTCATGCATTAGACTGGTTCGAAACCTACCAACGGCAATTACCAATGTGACTTTTTTCGAGTTATATATGTACCTTCTAAGATTATTTAGACACCATATCGACAATGGTAAAAAAACATAGTGAGAAATAAATTATAAGTCCACGTGACTTATAATTTATTTCTAATTATAAGTTTAAAATCGCCAACCTGCATTGAGCAAGCGTGGTGATAAATGCTAAATCTTTCTCCGTGTGAGAAGAGGCCTATTGTCAGCAGTGGGCACATGTCATTTGTAAAAATATGTTATGCAAATTAGGTCAATATGTTTTTACCTATATAATAGTATATTTATTTATATCGTGGCCATGAATTGTACCATTGAGACCAAACACGTGCTAGATAAATCCAATCTACTATCAAAAGTACAACATTTACATATTACACAATAATACATCTTATGACTTAAGTTTCAAAGTTCAATATAGCCTAACGTTGTCATTATGTGGTAAATCCCCAAGAATAGACGAAAATATATAGATAGTCATAGATTTATGTCCTCTATGGTCAGAAAATACCCAGGTAAGGGTGTGTTCACACTATTATAGTAATATAATAAAACACAAAATGCGCAGTTAGCGCAGTGTGTGGAATTATCTATTTAAATACATTTACTAAAATGTATCGTAGAATAGATGTCATTATTTTTTTAAGATTTCATGGCACTTAGACGAAGCTTGGAAATCTTGACTATGGTAACAACAATGAATCAAGTTTCTTAGCGAATTTTCAACCTTATCCGTTTTAATATAAAATTTAAAATCTATTGTAAATAAATGTTTGCTGTCAAGACTTGGAGGGCGTGTTGACCATTGACCATTGCGTAACCAATGTATCAATACACCAATCTGTCAGATCTCTTTATTTGATTTACAACTTAACTTCACTGTTATAAAGTTGAAAGTTGGTTAAATGATTTTGACAGGAGTTGGGTGTATTTTAATGTGCTGCCTCCTATAAAGCGCCTGTATAATAAATTGTTAACTTGTCACTTGGGAACTTTGGTTGTACAGTCCTTGTTTATTACAGATCTAATGAGTTGATAGTGATCCTTCATAAATACGTGCGGAACTAGAAAGTGCGTGATTGTTAATTGTTACTTAATACACTATTTTTATTATGTATCAACGCATCATATGATACTTAATTATACCATTTGACATTGAAATAAGTATGAATGTGAGTTATTAAAGACGGTTTGTTTACTAGCCATTAAATCAAACAAAATTCTATAAGTATTATCTTTTAAGTTACAAAAACGTGTGAAATTTTATTTTTATATCAAATTGATGTGGTATGTGTTTCACAGTGGTTTACCAAGGGGCGTTAGCAGTACTACAATGAATATGATGTTGCATGAGAGACAATGGTTCATTACAGACCAAGGAACTATTTATAAAGTTGCTGTCCATACCATGCTTAGATATACAAGAGATTTGAGCTAACAGACCAGTTTAGTCAAGGTAAGCAATGATCTTTATTCTACATTCTTAACACTATTCCAGTAGTAGGTACTTACTAGAAAGAAAGATATTGGTAACATCACACCCGTAATTTTTTTTTATGCGATCACCTGTTGGACCCCTGGAACACCAGAGGCGTTACAAGGTGTTACCGGCCTTTTGGGGATTGGGAATTTGAAGATTCAGGGTTTGGGGAGATTGAGGAAGGGGATAATTGGACCTCCGATAACCTCACTCACACGACGAAACAAAACGCAAACGTTGTTTCACGTCGGTTTTTTCCTTGGCCGTGGTATCACTCCGGTCGAGCCGGCCCATTCCTACCGATGAATGGCTCTCCCACACTTAGACAGCAGAGGAGCAGGTATAGGATGGTATGTGGTATGGTATGTTACAGTGGGTGCTGGGTGAGCCTATTGCAATACATCGGGCTCAATTTGAAGTTTCGTACTAATACCGAGAAGTTTCGTAAAAATATTATCTTAGTGCCACTTTAGTCGATACGGGACCGTGAATAGGCCCTAACATCCTATGCTTGATAGCTGTGCTTGTGACCCTGCTAGGTAACCATCTAACATTATAAATAAATATAATTCATAGATTAGGTACTTACTATGATGACTTGTATTAATTTGTAACAGGGAATGTTCAGTCTCATTCTTACAGCTATGAATATAACTAACTTACTTTGCAGCAGATATTTAGGCCAAGATTTGGACAATGAACATGTAAGGAAACCGCAAAGAAAGAAGTATGTCTCGTCAATACACGCCTGCCCTGTCTAGCACAGACGGTAGTACAGAAAAGTATTATTTGGTACAGCAAGTTACAGCCTTACCTTTGTAATTTGTTTACACATCAACAATAATGTAGACCTAAGTACAGCATTACAGTTCCACATACATTGTCGTAGCCATTTGTAGCTACACAGACTGTATTCAATATACTTTGTGTAGTAATGATAGCGATCAAAACATTCGCTATATAACATACTACATAACCATAAGAGAAGTTCTCAAGCACAACTTTGCAGCAAACCACAAATGCTTCATCGCAAAATGATAGTTAGAGTGTTAAATTAAAATAATGGAAATTGTTATAAGTTACATTTAAGTATGTCATAGTTTACTCATAAATTAAATTATGCAAAGGCACATGTCATTATTATGTACATTGAGATAAATTATTATTAATGGAATGGTATTTTTTAATATTTACTAAATTTAAACATTAGGTATAGGACTGTCATTATTTATAAAGTATCTACAACACTTTAAATATTTCTTGTCTTATTGTAATACAAAGTTTAATAGGGTAGGTATAACTTCACAAAATATTGTAAACATTGTTTAGTCCTAAATACGCTTGCTTCTTGCATCGACCATTGTTTTTGTCTCTGCATCACCCAAGGTCTGGCTGGAGGAGAATGCCCTAGGCATTAAGCCCACCTTGTACATAAGTGTGTGCATTAAGTCTTTTAAAATAAAATAAAATTAAAATAAACAATATTCTGAATATTCCATTCGAGTTTGATGTAGTAGGTACAGGATCTAAAACGATCCTAGCGCCATCTACTTATAACATTTTATAATTTTCTACCCGTTTTTCTATAATCTTTTGAATGAACATTGCCTTGTTACATCTATTAGGAGTCACAGAAAAAATATATATTTAACATACGAAGGAATAGAGAGTTTCCTGTTTTTGTAGTCAGTTAAAAATACTACTTAAGATTTCTTAATAGTTCGGCTTCATCACAGCCAGAACATGTTCCTAGCTCCATGTCCGCAAGGAGTGTTACCTGTAGTCCCTGTGGACCAGTACTGCGTCCCGGTCGGTGCCGGCGGCGCCGTGCGCGCGCAGTAGGCGCCGCGCGGCCGCCGCGCACTGCCGCGCCGACACGGCCGGGTCGCGGTACAACAACTTACTGCCGCGGGACCCCACCACCACGATGTAGTGGCCCGCGTAACTACCGCCGAAACAACGTCTACACGACACATACAAACAAAATTGATATTCAGATGAAAAGAGTTTGGTCTCTGAAGAGGTAGGCTGAAGTAAGTAATTATTGGACTTAGTAACAACTTACTTACTTAAATATGTTATGAACTTAGGAGTCCCATATTAAAATAAAGGGTCAGGTATCCATCACCATATGTATTCAGTTTTATTCTAAACAAAGGCAGTGTCACTATGATATCACTGAAAACTGTAGAATGTAAAACTGAACTAATATAGAAATGACAAATCAAATTAAAGCTCTTAATATGAAAACTTTCTACTGTTATGTTAAGCTAACCAATAAAGTACATGATTTCTTTACCTGAACTCGACCTTCAATTTATTATGCTTGCAGAGATCACAGACAAGCAATGTAGCATCAACCAGAAGTATGACGGGACCTGATGTATGCAGGTGTTGGAGCAGGTCGTGGTAGCCGAGCGACTGCTTCCTCACGTGGATGCCCTGGGATGTAGCCTCGTCGAAACGACGTAGTACCCGGTCACGGTCCTGGTAATAAAGTTACAAGATTTATTTGATAATGTTGGACTAGAGTTCAAGGAATAAAAGGCAGGATAAGAGAAATTATAATTTCATGTTTACTAAAAATAAACTTTCCTCATACTGAGATTTTTTGTGGTTGCACACTCATCACACTCAGATACTGGGACTACTACCATTTGTGTATCACACACAATTTTCTGTCCAAGAATAGTTACCTCAAAATTAAAATTAAGGCATACCTTATGAATTATTTTGTCGTAGTATCCATGTCTCCTGCAGTTCTCATTCACTCCCAGTGTTGTAGTGTACATGCTGTGCTTGATACCAAATCTGTACAAAATAAATATGATTATTTAGTCAATTTTAAAAATGAGTAAATGCTACAGACACTTACTTAAGTGCATATCCTCATAAACTTTTGCATTTATACAATGATTAAGTTTAAGTCCTCATGGTCTCACCTCTTCAATAAATAGCAGAGATCTATAGTCCATGTGGACTGCCTGAAGCCCTCGTCCTCGCAGATATCCTCAAAGTTATTGAGGAATTCCTCCCTCTGCTCCCGCGGCAGCAACATCAGTACACAGGACACTCCGCAGTCCCAGTTGTACCGCTGTTGGTAATGTTCAATACTGTGCTCCACATATTCTAATGGCACATACAATATTTATTAGTTTATTGTATTACACATAACATTTTAATCTTTGTCAACTAAAATGTTTTTTAAATAGGTACTGGTAGGCCTAGGTAATGTATGAGTAGGTATTGGATAGGGAACCAGATTTAACGATCCATTTAGGAATTTTGTAACTATACCGACGTATAATTCATACTTAATATTTTTATTATGATAATTATTATCTCTACATACCTAGTACATATTTATAATTTTTTACTTACTTTCACTCGCAGACATTTTAGTCTAACAAATTCCACACTACAATAATTTAGTTCACATTGTTGTTTATCAGTTCCTATTTACTTGTTTATCTAGTTTCCTAATAAATCTGACTCACACGATATTATTACTGTTTATTTACTGTTTGCGACTTAGGGTTTCCAGAATTTGCCTGTAAAATTACCTTCTTCGATGAATGATACGATTATAATAAAACGGTATTCGGGTATCCAAACGAATTTGACGAACTAGATAAATAATACGGAAGGGGCCTAGGTTGTGCTACATTTCGGTTATTGAAAATTTAATAAAAAAACCTGTCTCCATCTGATAAGTCTCAGTACTAATAGATTTGTTTAAAAATTAAAAGAAACTTTACACATTCAACTACTGTAGCACTGTTCTCGATAAAACAATATTTTCCAAAATGTCCTCTCATATAGGGAAAATTTCCTAATTGGCAACTTAGGTCTGTCTTTTAATTGACAACTACGTTTTATTGTAAGCAGTGAAAGGGCATTTTTAGTTGGTTATAATATCTATTGGGTAAACGTTCCTTGGTTATATCTAACAGAGCATCTACACGATGAGCCTTGATGGACAATCACAGGTGATCACGGTCGTGTAAAGGGCATTGAGATTGGCCATGATGGGCGTCGATTGAAGGTAATCGATGTTGTGTCGGTTTATCTCACAATCATCGGACACTTAATTGAGTAGCATTGCATTATTAGAGCGCAAAGGAAGGACATTAAATAAAAAAATGATATTTTTATAACATTAAACTGTCAATAATAAAACGTAACACTGACAGATAATTACGTTGATATGTCAACTCAACTGTCAATGTCAACTGCATTGGAATACTCAGCTGGTCGAGTGACTTTTATTCATTCGTGTTTGGTAATTTGGTTATCTTACAGGGTATTTGAAATATTTCAATAGTTAACGATGGCATTAAGAACAGGGCTAATAAGGTTATCCAACTTACGATGTTTAACGCAGCAAGCATCAAGGCTTCGTGTTATGAGTACTCAAACATCCACCAAGGAGGGACCTGCAAGTGCGACGGAAGAAATGAAACCCGGTCAAACACATTTCGGATTCCAAGTCGTTAATGAGGAAGAGAAAACCAAAAAAGGTAATGTGTTCTAATGCTCTGTATTGGTCGTCAGTTCTCTCTACACTAAAAGTATATTATCTCATTCAGTTTTTGTACAAAATTTCTTAATTATGAATAACCCGTAAAGTAAATTTTCAAACAAATGAATAACAAAAATAACTAAAAGTTCTATTCTTGTACAACTTCAGCTTACTTAGCACCCAGGCACTGTCTGAAATATTTTAAGTTAGGTACCTACCAATTTTATGAAGGCTTCCCAACTTAACTTGAAACTAACTTCCTATGACACTCACTGATCTAACCTTGGTTTCCACATTTCAGTACATGAAGTATTCGAAACTGTAGCTGAGAAGTATGACCTGATGAATGATGTGATGTCTATGGGCATCCACCGCATGTGGAAAGACATCTTCATGTGCCGGCTGGCACCACAGCCAGAGACTAAATTATTAGACATGGCTGGTGGGACAGGTGAGGTTCTTTAATTTCATTTTTACATTTACTTACCAAAATAGGGGAAGTTGTGGAATTATCACACTATCACACACTTTTGATTGAATAGACATAATATTTAATAAATGCTATTTGTGTACCCTGTTAATGCTATTCTAATACACTTTGTATATTATATTCCAGGTGATATAGCATTCAGATACATCAAGTACCTGCAGAACCTGGGTCCCTCACAGGGATCACACAGCAGTGTCACAGTGTGTGACATCAACCAGGCCATGTTGGATGTTGGCAAGCAGAGGGCACAGAAGTATGTTTGGTTTTATATTATACTTGAACTGCACCAAATGGTTTGGTAACAGAGTTGAAAATTAATTGAAGAAACAGCAGCAGGTTTAAAAGCTGTAATAATTATGTGTCCATTGATTTTTGTCACTTGAGTGTCAACTTTAATTTGATTGTATTCATTGTTTTGGTAATTCTGACCTTTAGTATAAATTAATTTCACACAAGTAGACAATTACTTATATTTTTAGGGAATCATTACTTGCATATTTATAAGATGAACAGTTATTTATTGTTCTCTTGAATAAAAATTATTATACATTAACATTTTGAATACAACTTGACCCTCCAAGTCGTACTTCATGTTTAATTGTATGACTTGGAGGGTCAGCTCAATAAGTTTGGCTCAGAGGTGCATACCTACCTGATTTGTGTCTATGTTTATGTAACTTATTCACTTTTCACCAGTTGTATTACGAAAACCATGTGATATGAATAAGCTTAGCCATACTTTGCCTAGTTCTAGACTCCATGCTACCATTGTGAAATTTTGGAAATAGCGAAAATGCCTCTATGCGAACTCGAGAACTCTTGCTCAATAGTCGCACTTTCTTACGATCTAAAGTCAATTCAGCATTTTTCGAGTTTACCATCGAAGTTAATGATGTGCATGGTACGTGTTGTTCCAGACTAGGCTACACGCCACAGTCGTGCGGTGTGGAGATAAACTGGAAGTGTGCTGACGCGGAGCGCCTCGACCTGCCCGACGACAGCTACACAGCATACACCATCGCGTTCGGGATCAGAAACTGCACTCACATTGACAAGGTATCCTAACTGAACTATTTCATTTTCACATACTTAGCATAGTTTAATTTTTCGGATCCAAACATTTTATGTAATAAAAGAAAACAAAAAATTTTAGTTTCGTCGTGGGTGCATTAACATTTTGAATATACATCTACTTACGTCTAAAACAACTGCTATGGAATCCACGACACAAGTTTCGTTGATTCGCAGTACTTATAATCGTCCACTTCACAAAGCCATTGCGCTAACTTTACAATAAACTACCGCAAATTATAACATTAGATCTATCCTATACGTGTTCCACAGGTATTGGAGGAAGCATATAGAGTCCTGACGCCTGGTGGTCGCTTCATGTGCCTTGAGTTCAGTCAACTGCCAAATGACACTCTGCAGTGGTATGTATAATTGTATACCTACCCTCTTTCCTAATGATTCTTTTACCTATATAGATTCTTTCTAACTTATCGATTTGGCACAATATATCTTGTTCTTATATCCCATATGAGACGTTTTTTGTTGCTACTGACAGTATTAGTATTTCTTCAAATTCAAAATCATTTATATGCATTAAAACATGGTATTATCTTTATAAAAGGCTGTCAGTGCGCTGGCGGCGGAAAACGTCTGCACATTGAACCCAAACCCTTGTGTGTCAATGATAATGGGGATGATGACAGGGTATGAAAATTAAAAATATAATTAGTCCGTAAGTTAGGTAATGAAAAAATATTAGACACGTATTTTTTTATTTTGTCGTATAATTAAACAATACTTAGATAAAACGAATCAAAGTTCAGGAGTGGGGGCTAAAACGTCATTTCTTAGTATAAAACGTACTGAGAAGTGACGTCACGCGACATTTCAAATCAATATATCTTCGAAACTATTCGTTTCTGTGAGAAAATAAAAAATACGTGTCTAATGTTTTTAACCTTTTGAACGCCAGAGCAAAAACGCATGAACTTGCCCTCAACGCCAGGCCACAAATTCACCGCAAATACCTACGAAAAAAATAGGGATTCCAAAACTTCATCGATAATCAATTTTATTTTCATTTTCGTCTTTAATTTCGAAATATAATGTCCTTATAACATTGAAATTTAATTCAACATTACATTTCTTCCTATTAAAGTAATAATTATACACTATTTACAGACTTGTATAATACCGTAATAACAGATATGAGACTACAATATATTTAAATATAATAACTGTAGGTACAACACTATTCTTGATCTGCTGTCTTCATATTGTGACCATGGCGTGGACGGCCCGCCATTTTAATAACTACTTCGCTTCCGAAATAAGGATGTGGCAACGTAATATCTCGTTTATCGATGTTCTAGTACAATATTATTTTATAATAAATGAAACACGTTTTTTAAATCAGATTTATAATTCCGAATGTAACAGGTACTTAAAAATATATGATTGAAATAGGTTAAGAAGGTAAATAAAAACTATGAAAAAATAGAAAATTTTAATAAAATGTTATACAGTATGTACTATGTATACATGTTTTTAAATATTAAGTTATATAAACCTGACATAAAAAGTAACAAATTAAAACAATTAACGATTATATATAATTATCACAATTACCAATCACATCTAATATGCAAAGAAGTTCTTCCGTAGTCATTAAATTCCCACTCATTATAATAGTCACTTAATATAAATCTTGAACTCGATATCACAAGTAAATTAATCATAAATATTATTCATTCACTTCACTAATTTCTGGTCGCCGCGCTTGTGACGTCACGATATTGTCGTCTAGTCGTGACCATGGCGTACAGGGTACTGATAATTCGGGTTGCGTTAGGGATGCGCTTGAGTTGCGATTAGTGAATATCGAAATTCGACCCAACCAAATTTTATTTTTGACTATGTAGCTTATTGAATGATTTTTAAGACTGGTTTTATAAAATTAATGCTGCTTTATCCTAGTACCAAATTATACCTAAAATAATATATTCCAGAGGAAAGTTTCGAATCGATCTTTGATTTGAAATAATGATATTATCCAACATGCGCTACATCACTAGCGGTCACGCAGTTATGACTCTGGCGTGTGAGGACATTCTTTTTTCAGAGTTTATTTCTTTCTTTTTAACGTAAAATTTCTCAATATTTATAATGCAATTTAATTAGTTTTATGGAAATAAATAAATTTTGGACCTTCTATTTTACAGGTATATAAATAAATAGGCGTTAAAGTAATGTTTAAATAGTTTATTTCGTGTTTTAATGTACCGCTGTTTTTGTCACATATTTGTGTCGTTAGCGCTCAGGGACAGTTTTCGCTTGTCACGTATTTGTGACCCTGGCGCTCAAAAGGTTAAATAATCTATCAGACGGACATTAAAATAAAAATTAGTCAGGATTGAACCCAGGCCTTCAGTCATACTAACGCTAAACCTAAATTGTTTTATTTTGCAGGGTGTACGACCAATACTCGTTCCAAGTGATCCCTGTGTTGGGGCAACTGTTTGTAGGACAGTGGAAGCCATACCAGTACCTCGTCGAGAGCATACGACAGTTTCCTAATCAGGTACATACTAAATATTTATACATATAGCTTCATTATTATTGGACAACATGAATAAATAGAGCTTGAGTGTGTGTGTTATAATTCTTACCACACATGTTCACCTTTCCACAGGAGAAGTTCAAATCGATGATAGAAGACGCCGGCTTCAGACAGGTGACCTATGAGAACCTGACGTTCGGTACATGCGCCATACACTCCGGGTTCAAGATATAATAGCTCTATCAGACTGTTGTTGCTTGTTAAGTTTTATACTATTTAGGTGATTGTAAATATACGCGGTATTTATATTGAGTCGTGTTGTAATTTGTTTCCTTTATTTATATGTTTCTTCTTTACAGACCACATCTTGTAATGCAATAAGAAAGCTATTAAAATCAAAGTTGATGACATGAGGGAATTAGTAGTTAGAAATAATAATGCAATGATTCTTTTGTAAGGAATTTATTAAGTCCATCAAAGTGCGTTGGTCTTTGGAATGCTGATCCAGTTCCTATATTACAATATGTATGTCCACACATTATATCTATGATATATCGAGCGTCCGCGACGCACACTTTACAATACATTTGTGATTTAACTTTGTGTTCCTAACATCACATCTCACAATTACAATCCGTATCAATTACATGTCAATTTTAAAACTATCCATTGCGGTCATCCATTCAAACACACGTCTCGTATCGCTGTCACGCAGGTAGGTTTGTATGAAAAGCTCGTAAAGCATGCTAATTATTTATATATGACACTGAGTTGTTAGGTTCTAACACACTAATGAGCAAAGCTAATAGAAAATATCTCTCATAATCGTCATTGAACCGAAGTCCTACGTCTAGGAAATAACGGCAGACATCGAGAAGCAAATAAAGTGTGAGTTAAGGATATCCAAACAAACATTAATACTCTGTACCGAGCGTGCACTCAACATAAGTTATTTTGCAATTAATTTGAATGTCATACCCAAAGGTCCTGATCCTGTCCAGCGCGGAAGGTGCGAGGTGCCGGCCGCGCCGACGATCAAATCCAAGATCCAAAAGGAACAATACATCCACGCGACAAATATTCAAATGTCCGCCAGAGATCCGCCGGTGCGGTCCGATCCGATCCGATCCTACACGCGAGGCCTCTACGGCATCCTGACTCACACCTCCAGCCAAGCACATCCAATGATTTCCATTAGAGGATGAAACAAAAGAAAATGCTTTTAATTATAAACAGTCATCTTGTAAATGTAATCGAGGGTCGTCCGCGTCGCGACCTGCGCCCCGCCCGCCCGACGGGCGAGGGACGCAGCCCGCGACGTGGACGTGCGCCGGACGACACAGCTCGCGCACCTTCAATCCCAATATTATATTTACTTCCAATTTTAGACACTACTACGACGACATCCGGGTACCTCTCATTACATGGTCACAGTGGAACGACGTAGGTAGAAACAACTCTTCATCCAATTTTAACCATGAATTAGGTTGCTGTCAACAAAATAATAGTTTATCAATTTATGTATACTGCATCATCTAGAGGTCTTAAAGGTTAGACCAATAACTCAAAGTTAAAATCAGTCCAGCATCGTTCCTATCTACTCTGTATCACGTAAAAGGTTATTGTATGTAAAGGTATGTGTAGCAGCGATGTCGTCCCGCAGTGTAATGTACATCTATGTCTTATATCTACGTGAGGCTGTCCGCTGCCGCGCCGGCGCCGTCGCTCCGTCCGCTGTCGAAATATAGACCTTCAGTTCACATGCCCTGGGACGGCACGACTACTAACCACATGGAACCACTCACACATGCAAGTGACATCATCATCAACCACCAGTTCCACAGACTGGCGAGTAGGCGTTGCGTTAGTAAAGGTTCCATGTAGTTACTAATGTGCTCAGTGATGACGATGAGTAAGGGCTGAGATTCAGTTGCTTTCTCATCGTATTCAAAGATTTCATTGAATCCAGATTAACTCATAAATAATGATTTGAATTGATAAAAAATTAGTACAAGATATAAATGTGAATATAGCTGTACTTATATGATTATTATAATATAAACGAAATAAAAAAAAATATTAATCTATAAAAAAATCAGTCTTTCGGTCTAAGATATAAAATATTGAGAACTTATTGATATTAAGCACAAAATAAACGAGTTACGCAAGGCAAAACAAACCAAAGAGTATTGAATATTGATAAAGCTAAGTCTCAATGATACCATTGCCAAGTATGTCTGTCCCGCAAACCTTGATGAATCCACATGAAATCCAAATCCTTAAGTTACAATCCAAATCCTCAAGTCCAGAGATATTTTCAATTATTTGCAAAAGTCCTGAGTAGTCCAGTGTTATTTTCAACAAGCTGACAACTGCTATATCCAGTGAATCCTTCCATTACTGTAAATATAGCTGTGGCTTGCGTGACAATATTTCCAAAATATATTTCAAATTCAGAATAACAATTACAAAAACATGTTTTTGATTAAAAATATATGTTGATTTATAATCAAATATTGTAAACAACTAGCCGTAAGTTAACTACAATTTGTAATATTTGTTTAATGTAATAATTTATGACTAATTGAGCAATGACTTCACACCACAAAATTTATGTAAGGTAATAGCATAATCAGAATAATATGTTATTATTATAATATATTTATATTTGTTTGTGTAATGTATTTATTTAGTTGTTACCGTTTATATCTAAAACCAAAAAATGGTGAATACTTTGTGCAAAGCTATTAGCTTCAACTAATGGCTCCCTCGATATTATAAATGCACAATTATATGACTACAGAATGTATTCCCATTGCGAATGATGGGTTATTGTTGTATTCGCGTTACAGTTGATGTACGTAATACATGGCTGGGATGAGGGCAGACGTAGTGTAGGAGTGTGTACCGACCTGTCTCAGTAGTTGTGCGAGCGCGAGCGGCTGCGGGAGCGCGAGTAGCTGCGCCGCACCGGCGAGTACGTCGGGGACCCGCGCCGCCGCGGGGAGTACGACCGGGACCTGCAACCATTCACTCATTCATCCACCTCCATGTCCACAGGTGTCTCTTATAATAATTTTACAAAACTGCATGCATTACTATAGGTACACTAAACCAAATACAGATTTTTTTGGAAACAAAAAGAAGCAATCAAATCTCATTGCATTCAAAAGTTCCAATGATATTTTATAAATTATTATGTTTTCGGCTTACTCACCTAATTATTACGAAAACATAATAATTTATTTAGTATGTCTGACGAAAGTTATTATACAAATGATATTTTGTATTGAAATATTTCATTTTTCATACGATTGAGTTTAGAAATTGAGTATGGTCGTTAAGTAAGTTAATAGTTACATTTGTGTTTGTAGACTCAAATTGACTTGCTTACCTGTCTCGGTCCCCACTGTAACGGTCCGCGCCACCGCCGCCGCCACCACCGTAGTCCTCCTTGACGCGGATATACGACACCTCGCCCTGAACAAAAAACAATGTTGAAATGGTAATACAATAAAAATAGAGACTTAATAAGAAATTGTTTGCTAAATTATGATAATATCCAAATGAGTAAAAGAAGTATTAACCTCACACACAATCATTTGTTTATCTTATACATCAGGAAATCGACTATGTATGTGTATTTCCACTTTTCCATCAAACACATTCATAATGTATTAAGATACATAATGCAAAACAGTTTACAAAAAATTACTTTACATTTATTTCACATTGAATGAATATTCCAAGTTATTAACATAATTACAGGTCATTAACCTTGTTCAATGAGTCGTAGGTAGTCATAGCTTGATGCCTGGGGTGGAACCCCTTGTAACCGAGTCAAATCAATAAAATGTGTACATATGAAATATTCACAGGCAAGCCACCATTTTACCTGTGCTTCTGAACTTATTAATGGACTTTACAAAGTTTTCGACGCAATAATCGAAACTATCGCGTGATAATTGTTGTAGATAGGGAAGTAACTTTCCATGTTAGGGGGAACTTGATAATGTAGTAGTAAATTGTAGATGACTGGTTTACATTCGGAAATAAAAAATAGTATTATTTTTTAATTTATGCCTGGTAGCAAGTCTTACCTCATGACTCCTGAATCTAGAATCATCCAGCTTCTTGACAGCATATTTCATGTCTTCATGGCGCAAGAACTCAACCACACCGGTGCCATCTTTAAAGGTGTCAGCGAAACAGACATCACCAGCTTCTCTCATGTGGTCCTTTAGATCCTGCCAGGATCCTGAAGGAGGCAGTCCAGTGACAAGTACGCGATGTTCAGAACGGCGGGCAGGTGGGCCTCTTGTTGCGGTGCGTGCTCCGAAGCGCTCAGGGCCTCCACGGCCTCCACGGCCACCACCGCCCCCTCCGCCGCGTGGGAACTCTACGCGTAGGCGGTAGCCATCATAATCATAGCCATCACGAGCACGGACTGCGTCATCTGCATCTCTGTCGACAAAAAATTGGTTGTTCAGTTATAATATTTCATGAGATGGTTAGGAAATATAAAGTATAGTTTATCATGAAATTACAGATATTTCCACAAATTGATGAAGGAATAATATTTAGGTACATATTTCTGCTCAGTAAACATTTTGATGAGTTGTCATTTGACGTGACCTAAGGGAGAGGCCTTTGTACAGCAGACTACATTTTCCAGCTGATGATGATGATGAAACAGCAAAAAACTGATCAAAATAGGCTGATGGATTTGTAGAGATTTACTAGTGTTAACACAATAAATACAACATGATGCTTTTATCCCTGAAGCGATAGGCAGAGGTATACATTATGCCACTGTACAATGTAACATCCACTTTTCACTAATTATGTTATGAGTCCCATGTAATAGGCGGTGAGCCTATTGCCATATACCGGGCACAATTCCAGACTCCTGAGTGCTACTACTGAGAATTTATAAAAACCCAGGAATACTTTGCCAGACCTGGGAATCCAACACGAGACCAATTGCCCGGTAGTCGTACTTGCGAACACTCGGTCAACGAGGCAGTCAACCGTGTCAACAATGTGTGTTATTTTTTTGAAATAAATGATGTTCATAATCTTCTTCAACAAGAAAATATTTATGTTTAAGATCAACTGATATTAAAAGTCTGTCATAAACAAGACTTGATGAATAATGCCACAGGCAACTTGTTTATCATCACATGCCTTGTTATCAGTAATGTAGTTAAACGAGTAAACATTACTAGTGATTAAGAAATGGCAATTGCTTGTAACAAGATAACTGAAAATGCCATGATCTTAAAAGAAATTATAAATCACCACATGATAATTAGGCCTAATGGCTGATACCTAATTGTGATTTATGACATAAGTTGAATGCAGTTTCGGTCAAAAACTTAGGAACAATCCAGATCAGTAGTTTAATCCAGATTTTGTATTAATAAATTTGGCCATAATTCTTCATAGAACAGCATTCACAAAACTATCCAATTGACAATGTACGAGTCTATTTGTCATAATTGACTTCATATTCAGTGGCACACTTTGTATGCTTTATCTCTTGAATACAGTTATTGTTGGTTTCATTACTTATCACATTGCTATTAAATGGAGATGACATACATCCAGTGTTCAGTGATACATGTTATTATATTTTTCATATCAATTAAAATTGTTTACTACCTAGTCTTGTGTAATTTACTGATCACTAAATAATATGACATGATATAGTAGTAATACTCATATTATTGTTCAATTTTCCCTCCTCATCTAATTACAAATTCATTATGGCTGCTTCATGCACGTCATTTTTTATCATTGAACTTAGGTAACTTTAAAAAAAAATACTTAATAGTTTTAAGATCTAAGGGATGGAAATTAGGTCAGTTATTCTACAGCACTAAAAGCTTCAATTTTATATGCCTCTGCGTACATAACAAAAATAATACCACTGTTTAGTCATAGCAAGTTCGTAAAATAAGTACCTATCTTCTCTGTACAACACAACACACACTTCAAAATCAATAATTACCTGGGATCTTCAAATTCTACAAAAGCGAACGGTGGTCCTTTTCTGTTTTTCAAATCCACGAATGTAACTTTGCCGAACTTGTAAAATAGATCTTGAATGTCCTTTGTCCTTATGTCGGGAGGAAGATTGCCGACGTATATTCTGCACTCATTTCTATTGCTGCTGCTTCCGCCAGACATTTTGATTTATTTTATGCACAAATTGAGAGTAATTCCACGTTATTTTTGTGAATTCTTAGGTAACGCTTCAACGTTTCAATCGCGTTCTTATCAAATATGGCGTCTGTCGGATCTGATCAACCAACCCGGCTAGCTGACAGCTCATAAGAAGGAAACGGATGCGGCTTGGCTTGACAGTACGGTATGTAGTCTATGGATCGCTTAATTTTTTCTTTGTCTGAAATAATCGAAATTAAAAGGAACTAAAATTCTATTTTTTAAATAGCATAAAATTCTATAATGACGTATGTATGCAGTAAAATTTCAATTTCAAACCAATATCATGCCGGAAACATGAAAATTTACCGTCAAACATAAATGAATCTTTTTTTGGAGAAGTAAATGGAAAAAACCATTACCTATTTTATGAAAATTCTGTAAAAGACATTACTTTTTATTTGTCTAATTATTTATAGGCCAAAAATAAAATGTTTGAAAATATGCCATAAAGTTTATTTTTCGAATATGTTTGAATTTGGAACGCCCTCTGTCGCAATTAGAAGAAATCTTTGCTGAAAGAAGCCTGTGAAAGAATCCTCTGGAAAGTAGGCATTGAATCTCCGGTTATCAAAATCTTAACGTGAGAATTTGTTCTTTATCCCGAAGCAAAGTGAGTATTTCTTTATTTTAGTGGTTATTTATTTATTGTTATTCATTTTAAATATTTCTTGTGAATGATTTTCCATAATTTACTGTAATATTCACAAAATGGTGTGCGAAAGTCTACAGGCGGAACAATTTATTTTCTGCAAATATTCGCAAAGATGTGCAACAAAATGGTTTTATTGATTTAACCATGTTGTTTCTATAGTGATAATCTGCGATATGATGAATTATCATTATCTTTTGAATCGCTAGGCCAAATTACATGTTGGTGCCGCGTTCCTAATTTCTCCTATCAGTTTTGATGACGGGCATTAGTGCTAGTGCTTCCGTTAGAATTACTACGAAAATACCGTCGCAGCTAGTGGAAGAGGTCAGGTGGGTAACGTAGATGCGCCAAGTAATAACGCAGTCCTATTAGATACCTACTGTTTTAAATTTTCCCTCATTGGAATATTTTTCATAGGCAGGGTTCTCATTTGTAAAGGGCGCGCATTTAGTCCCGGATTTCGCGCTTGACCTTTTCTGGTAGTTATTTATAGCGCTTTGTTGTTGAATGAAACAATCAGCGTGTTCCCCTTGAGGGCACGTAGAAAATCAATGTTATCGACGCGGTTCAGGAACTATAACCTCTAGCACTAAGGCTATCGGTCATCTATTGCAACAAGTAGCTGTATTTGATTTGTTAATTTAACAGCCCTACTTCTGTAACCCACAATCACTAAAACCAAAATCGTTAGGTACATTTAAAAAAAAAATTAAGTAATTTTTGACAAAATATTTGATAAGGCACAAAAATGCTTTGATTCTTCGCTATATCAGGCAGAGACATGCTATTACTTGACTGGGGAAAGATAAGATAGTGGAAAAACAAGCCACTATCTAATATTGCGACTTATTGTTATTTACTGTATAATAACTAGGGCATTAAATGTCAAATGTAATTAGGAAAAATCTAAGTTTATGATAAATAACTCACCACAAGTATATGTTGTCTAGACACATAGCTGACAAGATGTGCGACCGCAAGGCGGTGATCAAAAATGCTGATATGAGCGAAGAGATGCAGCAGGATGCTGTGGACTGTGCAACGCAGGCGTTAGAGAAGTTCAACATTGAGAAGGTAAGTCCAAGTACAGCCACATAGTCGTGTATTTCTCCAGAATTAATTTACTGAATAGCAACAATAAGTTGTAAACAATACTTTAATGTTTACAATTGAAATTAACATAAATTTTTGTTGCAATGAGCTTCGGTGTGCAGTTCCCACCAAAGATAAACTTGAGGTTTTCCTGTTGTGGTTAGTGTAATTTATAATAGGTAAATTGTGAGTAAATACTAAATTGATAATTATGATCTCTCACAACCATTATGAATTAATGAATAATGAATCAAGTTGGGTTTATTGAATGAAGTTTGTTGGGTGAGTGGTAACATGCTTAGATGGGTACTGGTTGTTTGCAGGACATCGCGGCTTTCATCAAGAAGGAGTTTGATAAGAAGTACAACCCGACGTGGCACTGCATCGTGGGACGCAACTTTGGCTCGTACGTGACGCATGAGACGCGCCACTTCATCTACTTCTACCTGGGCCAAGTGGCCATCTTGCTGTTCAAGAGCGGCTAGGCGGGGCTGTGCCCCTTCAAAATTTTATGTTGTTAGCACAGACGCAGTATTACCGGGCGACCAGTGGCTCCGCGGGCCGCCGGCGGCGCGCGAGTGTGTGTGTGTGACGGGTGACTGGGTGAGTGCGGCACGCCACGCGACTAGGACTAGCCTCAAGCCCACTGTTTATTATTTAACGATGCTGGACTGCGTCGAATCTCTTCACTTCTTAGTCCCCGGCGCACTCGATGTATGTTTGTACTGTGTTAGCTATATTTAAGACTCGATATTGACTTGGGTAATACATTCACTTCTAGTGTATTTATATTAAAAATTTTAGTTAATTATTCCTAGACTTATTACCTAGCATAGCGTAAAAGTCATATGTTAGTATATAACTAAATTTATTGTTTAATTTCTTTGTTAATACACCCTGTGAAAATATTTTTCAATACTTCTTTATTAAACTTTCTTACAAACCAATATATTTTCTTTATATTTTTTTACTCCAAGGTATCCTATTTCAGCATGTTGGACATAATTTACAAAACATGACTTTGTAGGGATAGGTTTTTGAACTGTGTTGCAGATAGCACTTTACCATACTACTACACACTAGTAGTTTTATTCTCTTTATTTAGGTACACATAAAATCCAATCTTTATTTCACACACTGAATAATCTCTGCGTCGCCGCGTCACGATTTGTTGCGTGCCGGAATCGAACGTGAGACGTTGCGCAGCAGCTAGTCGTCCACCACTGCGGGAGTTAGTTTTTGTTTGAGTTTGAGACAAAACTTCGAACTCCCATTTTAAATTAATCTGCTGCTCACCCACCACGACTGCGCTCACCTGAACCAGCTAATGACGGGGTGCTCGTTTCAAAGCTCAGCTGCTCCTCCATCTCAGCTTGGAAGAGCAGCACAGTGCCTGATCAGGAAAAAGCCAGTTAAGAGCATGAGGTTGCAACAGCGCGGCATCGGCGCAAGCGCAATTTGCGCAAGGTGTCAGATGATTTATTTCACTAGCAGCTTACATATCGAACGGGCATCGGTTCTTCTGGAGGAATGGAACATCACAAGATAAGAACTTCTTGCTGCGCTGAAGCTGCCGCTGACGATCAAAATTCGGCATTGAAAGACTGGTTAGCGCACTAAGAATATAATTATGGCTCACCCACAAATATGCGTGTAGATACTAATTAGAACAAGCGAAACGTAGCCTTGTGCGCTATTCAGCAAATTGTTGATTAGTAGGTAATATTGTTCATTCGTTCCACTTTGTATTGTTACCTATCCTATTAGGTAGTAGAGTAGCCTCGCTATTGCGAAAAAAAAATAACAAGTCCTATGTACCAGTCTAGGTTCCTACCTATAGAGATAACACTTAGTAAGACTATCTTTTGACAAACGTGTACTAGGGGATAGATTTTACCTTTAGTTCATTAGACAGAGCCGGTCTTAATTTTTCTCAAAGGTGTTTAATAAACTACACTATTATGTAAATTAACCAAGTAAAACGTAGTAACGGTAAAATGGGGTGGATAGGGATCGAGAGGTGAATAGGGACAGAAGAGGGGTGAATCGATACTATGAACAATTTCCCAAAATCTATTCACCCCTCTTCTGTCTCTATTCACCTCTCGATCCCTATCCACCCCATTTTACGGTACCTAATACATACGTACATATACCTAGGTAATTATGGTATTTGCATTTAATTTAGTAGGCATGTTAATTTCAAAATTATACAATGTCATGGTCACATTGCTGGTGGCATGCGCCTTTTAACAAATACCACGGCTTTGTTTTGCAACGAAATTCCTAACTAACAATTTGTAAGTAATATTCCTGAAATAATTTTGTGGAAGTACCTACGTAATGACTATTACACAAAATTACCTGTACAAACTAACGTCTTACGTGGAAAATTTGAGAAAAGCGCGCCCGCTCGCATCAAAAATAAAAGTTCCGATGTGACCTGAAACTTGTAGTTTTCCTCGAATAGTTAACATAAGTGGTTATTTTGAATTAATTCCTTGTTATTTTGCGGTAAAACGAATTAGGTACATACCCATAAGTAAATAAATCAATCCTAGGTGTGCCTAGTTACCTAGAATAATTTATCAAAGTTGTTACGTTACTATGAATTTTAAACCGTAACTGGATAAGGTGCATACTTATATAAGGTACTCTTATCTTAATTTTCTTACTAGAATATAATTTCCATTTAAACCGTCAAACTTTATACTACAGAAGGTAGCGTATATTCAGACCTTCATGAATCCTAAGATTATTTAAGTTATACCTATGCAATTTGCTACTAGGCTTAAAAATATGTAGGTACTAACTAGGTGTAAGATAGTAATCCCTTTGCATTTACTCATCGTTGGATAAATAGGTCAATTAGGGCCGCTACTATGCCGCTGTGACGATCGACAATAACCCTGAGCTTGTAACAGTTTAGCGCTCACCTGTAATCGATAAATCCGCGTGTGTGCATAGGTAGGGTACCTACGTACCTACAGCATGTAGCTTCATGTTTTATTGTTCAGTAAGCATGTAATAGGTAACTGTCCATGTATGTGGGTACTTAAGTAGCTTCTAGTCTAGCATATAACAATATTTTACATAACGGCTAAAGGACTTACGCAGACATCTTTACATCTTATAACATTGTGAATATCGGTGTTATATTGTATACCGTGCACCTCTGCCCATCCCTTCGGGGATAAAAGGCATGATGTTATGTTATTTGTACATCTAAATAGTTCACGTGCGTGCCTATTTGATGAAAAATCCTACATTAAAAACGTCGCTTGCAAGCACAGCTCTTAGCAAAGGTACGAGGTGCGAGGTGAAGCATTTTCTTTTTTAGCTTATTAGCCACTAAGCGAGTTATCTGCTGGAAGTCAGGCTTGTAAATGAGATTATAGACACTGCTACATTTACACGGAAACTTCTTTAAATAGGTCAGCGTTGCTTGCTGGCAGTTCTAGTTTAGTTTAACGTTTTAAAAATCAAATACTCTTCTTTATCATAACACATTTTAACGTGAATAACTTGTATATGGATGGATAGAAACAGATTAAAGGTTGTATAGCAACGAGCTCGCCCCCTAAATACCATGACTGGCAAAAATGGGTGTAGCCTCTAATAACGACGGGTAGGAAGTGATTTATGTGTCTATAGTGCCTATCTTACATAGTTTAGTGAAGCAACCTCGTCGTCGTTAACTTTAATTCATGCCTAAAATAACGTAATTTGGAAATATTTTAAAGACATAACATTAGTCCTTGTTGCAGTATGCAGTAAGCAGGGGTAAGTACTGCACTGAGACACAGCAGAGATGCCAATTTTAGAGTTTATTTAGGTACCTACTCGAGGACTAAATGTATCGATCTTCGCGATAGGAGTTGGAACTTTGGTCTCTCAGCTAATTATAGTACCTAGGTAAGTATGCAAAAATATTAACACATTCCTTGCAATCAATAATCTCACTAGGTACGTAATGAAGGCGCTGATTAGGTGATGACTAATTTTGATGTCCACCTGTTACCTAAATTATTCTAGACAGATAAAAATAAAAATAAAACATTGGACACGTAATATTGAAAAGATGGCGATGCATATTCAGATCGATAATCGCATGACGTCACACTGCCGTTGTGCGTAGGACGCGTAGATAGTAGTGATGTATTCTATCTTATGACGCGTAAACTGCTGAGGACTTAACGGGTTACCGGGGCTCCGGCTCGGAGGGCAGGAGTAGGAACAGGGTCGTTTTTAGTCAGTAATAACAGTTTGACACTCCCTCCCGCCTCACCTAGACGGGAGAAGGCATTCGATGATGACGCGTAGCCTCCTGTTCATTTTGTTGCATTTTCTCATTCTCATTATTTTTTTATTAATTTGATAAAGTAGGTATAAATTAAACTTGGCGGTAGTGCCTATAGATACTCTTTAATAAGAAACATTAAGGGTATTCTGATAAATAATCTCATTTAATCATTTAAACATCAGACGAGCAGTGGGCAAAACATACTACTAAGTGGAGCCCACTCAAGGTCAGTAGGCCCAAAAGGAGATGGCGGGAATTAGACATCTATGACAAGAATTGGCCGCAAAAAGCTTTACATAGAGAGGAGTGGAAGGAGGGTAGGGAGGTCTTTGCCCTGCAGTGGGACGATCATGGCTGAAAATAAAACATAAATAAAAAAAATAATATAAATAAATAAATAAGGGTTTTTTTTTTCAATTTATAAAGCTAAGTAGGTACCTGAGTTGAGATACTTATAGTATCTACCTGATAGAACTGTCTGCCTTGTAGAATATATTTGATGGATAATATTTCTAACCAATCACCATGAATGTGTACCTTTTACTTATCGAGAACCGGCAAGCGATCTAACATTATTCTCATTTCCTCAAAAGGTAGGTAAGCAGAGGAAACCCGCACGGAACCTGCGAAGAAACCTGGCTTCACTATAATTTTCTCGTTGTGTTTTATCATAGCGTGGACTGCACAAAATCTTTACCAAATAAGCAAGCATAACCGGAGTCGAAGGGTTAGTTTAAAATTGTAACACAAAGTCGACATTTATAACTTTTACAAGGACACATGTGATTGTCCTTGAGTACCTGTCACATGTACCTGCGTGTCAGTTATTCTTGGAGCCGGGGCCTAGGTCACGGTTTAATTATTGTATTAAAATATCCACTGTGACATGCGGGGACTGCGAGGAGCGTGTATTCACTGTATTATAGGTACTGGCTACCTTTAGTATCGATTTTTATACATTTTTATAGCTAGTAGTACCGCAATGCTAGACTATAAACATAATTTAGTAGCTTTGTGAATGTTTTAGACTTTTGGTTTAGAATTATGTCTTACTACCTACACTCCTACATAAATACGTGTAATTTAGTATATTTTAATCTAAGATGACCTATATTCCTTTATTGAAGGCAATCTACAGGTACGATGACTGTTAAATAAATGTGAAATTTTAAGTTCAAATTTTATCGTCACGTCAGGCAAATTGATATTCAGTTAGGTACTGGACTGGATTCTGATATTCGCAATAATATCGAAAGGACACCAATATTTCAAAGTGGAGGTAACTTAAGCCAATTTTTATCCCACTTCGCCAACAGGATCGGGACCTACCTATCTCAAGGTCAATAACCAGCTGAAGTTACATCATTATCACTAAGCCGGTTAGGTAATACTCGAGCCCCTATCAGCACCGCGGTCACGATAACCTGACCACGAATATCCTGCAACCTAGCTTATCAGGCCAAGTCACATGGCACCAACTTTGCACACGGACTCCTGGCTCCTGGCTCCTGTCTCCGTGTGCAAAGGACTTGTATAAAACATAGCTTCGAGAAGTGGAGGACCATAGTCGAGCCGTGGTACTCACGGCTTGAAACTAAAATAAAATAGTTTTTATTTCATTAATTTTATTTAGTTCTTTTTTGTATTTTTTGCTGAAAATCTTGTGGTAAGTGCTGTTTTGTTAATTTGGCTGTATGTTGTATACTTGGCAGCAAAGGAACGATGCCATAAGCATTTTTTATTTTTCATTTCTTGATAAATATTTTGTGATACAAGTGTTTGATTCATTGGTAACATAATGCCGTGTTAAATGCAATTTAGTTATATCTACCTTCAAATTGAGAGCATATTGTTGTAAAAGGATTTTTTTTTCAATTATAGAGGGTTCGATAAAATGAAGGAAAAACCGCTAGTGGCTCCATTTGTTTGCTCCTTAGTTTTATTTGTGGTTTTCTTATATATTTCTTTTATACGATCATTTTGATATTAGCACAGTTATCTGGTAAAAGATGCCTGTTCTTTTTTTTCTGTCCTAGACTTAATTGCTCATTAGTTACGAGTGCGGATTTCGAGTATCATATTATGAGAGGACGTATTTTCTGGAAGATAAGAAATATAGTCCTAAATATTCTAAACCCTTATTAAGCTTAGCTGTACACAATTGTAAATCGCGTTATATTACGAAAGTTTAATAACATAACAATAAAGGCCCCAATTTGGCTTGAAACTAATCGAGTTCCTCATCAAATAGTTACGCGAATAAGTCGTTAAACATAATAAAATAATAGCCAATACGTAATTAATTATAACAATTATATTAATGTATTTCCTGCTCCGAATATATTATTCTGCACTCTATACATGTAGTAATAGGTATCACTATCAGTTACCCTCCTGCCCATACTTGTTTAATCCATATTGCCTGGTTAGTATGCCGAGCATGCATGTTGTAGTGACTGTAGCTACCGATACTTGATATTGTGGCACATTATTGTTGAGTACCTACGTATATTTATTTGTTGTGGACTTAGATACCTATTTGTATTATGCAGGTAGAATTACCATCATGTAGTATGTAAACACAGGTAATAATTAAGTTAATTATGTTTTATTAAAACTTAAAATATGAACAAGAACCCTTATAGTTATGGTAGACATTCCACCCATTCGCACGAAGCGTTTCTCATTGAGTTTTCTTGTGCCTCTAATTAATGGAATACCTTATATAATCTGTTTCCTGACGAACATAAGTTAGGTGTCTTCAAATCCCGAGTGAACAGGTTGCTCATAGGTAGGCGTGCTCCATCGTCTCCACGTCATCGCTATATGCCTATCAAGTATAAAAAAGTCGTTTTATAATTTCTGAAGTTAAGACTTTATGGTTGTGTTTCAAAAATTATTAAGTACTGTCTCGTTAGTCAAGTAATCACAAACGCGAATGTTGAACATGTACCTAGTCGCGGGTTTGATTCCCTTATCAGTCAATTGTTAGTAATTTGATTTTCGATGCTTGAAATTTTCAGTTTCATAGCACAGAGACCCTATTAAAGGAACTTTAAACAGATATGTTACCATTAAAGTACTTGGACGACCGAGCTTTTTGATAATAGACATTTTCCGAAAAAGAAACCTCGCTTGATCGGTTAATGGCCCCTGAAATCCAATACATACAAAATTTCAAGAAAACCGTTGAAGTCGTTTCCAAGATTGATGATATATAGCTGTTATACACGTATTAGATAAAGGTATTAGATACATACTCATACGATATATGAAGGTATTATGGTGTTTCTTGCGAGTTGTCGAATTGAAACTATACTTTGGAATGAGCGCCTAGCTTTACTGACAGACGGACGGACAATTAAATTTTTGACGTATCAAAAGTGCTTGATACGTCGTTGCCTAATTACGGAATAATTGAAATAAATGATTTGACTTTGACTTTAAGGGCAGATCAGGCTCCATCCATCCCTGATGTACATATTAAATTTGATGTAATATTCCAGTATGCAAGATGTCGGACGCAAAGAAGAACCTGTTGTTATTCTTCGACCGGCCCTCGGAGCCGTGCTTCATGCAGAAGGGAGATGATAAGGCTGTCTTCGAGATACCTGATCACTACTACGTAAGTACCATGTCTATTTCATCTTTCACAATCCAATAATATACATTAACAACAGCCCGTAACAGTCCACTGCTAGACGTTGGGTACAGGCCTCTTTTACCTAAGACGGGTTTGCCGTATGTCTTGGCAGGCGGGCTGAAGATCGCAGCTTAAAAGGCTCAGGGATTTCAAAGAACGTTGCTGCTCACTCTCTGTTTATATGTGCAGTCCCATAGTCGGCTCTCATGAGGGTACCCGCGAGAAGAGACAAAGAGGGATAATGATATAAGGAAGATCAAACTGAAATAATCCCTAAAATCGTCATCATCATCACTATTTTCACCCCTGTATTATAATAACGCCTTGAGCAAGCGTGGTAATTAATGCTCACACTTTCTCCATGTGAGAAGGAGCTTTTGATCGGTATTAGGCACTTATAGCCTGATGACGATGATGATTATAATATAGATAGGTAATACTCCTTTAAGAAAGAAAAGGTGTGATTTAACCCTTACATTACAGCCGGAGAAGTACAAGACGCTATCGAGCACCATCTCCAACCGTTTCGGTGATGACGCTGGTCGTACTATCCCCGTGCGTAACATCGCACTGCCCAACCTGGCGCAGCCCATGGAACTGCCCTACAATGACCAGTTCTCTCTCTTCGTGCCCAAACACAGGGCCATGGCGGGCAAGCTCATTGACATCTTCATGGGTAAGTCCGTCTTTGGTTCTTTAGATATAGAAATAGAACAAACCTACTTATTCTGTCTTAGAATTTGGTTCTTGCAAGGAAGAAGTAGAAATGGCAAATCAAATCAATATCTAACTGCTACGTCCATTCAGAGTTTTATTTCCTGGATTGCGCAAAGTATTGTAAGAGACTGGTGATGGTGTACAGCTCAAGTGTTACCTATAATTTACAGGATCTTTACAGTACCTAATACATGTCCCTTATGTTCCAGGTATGCGTGACTTGGAGGACCTGCAGTCCGTGTGCTCGTACTGCCAGCTGCGCATCAACCCGTACATGTTCAACTACTGCCTCTCTGTCGCTATTCTGCACAGGTTAGTTGCAGGACAAGTATTAGGACTAAATAGGCTCTTAGGAGTAACCAAGGAGTTTCTTACTTGTTCGTCTTTATAGGAACCTTTAAAACTAACTTCGGAACGAGGAAATAAATTTAGGTTCACTATCTGCTGATTGATCTAAGTTTTTGAGAGACTCCATACAACTAATGTCCATAATTAATCTTCATCCAAAAGTAGAAGGCATATTCAAAATTAACATGCTATGTTTAGGCCCGACACTAAAGGACTCAACATCCCGACGTTCGCGGAGACCTTCCCCGACAAGTTCATGGACCCCAAGGTGTTCCGCAAGGCCAGGGAAGTCAGCAACGTCGTCACATCAGGAGTCAGGGTGAGTGAAAGATAGATTGATAACTTTATTGGTTTGTAATAAACTCGAAAGTCGATTGGAGTTATCATCTAATTACAAGTAAGTAAGTACTTAGAACTACACACATGTTCTGGTTACCTACTTGTGGTACTTCGTCATAAGTTCGTGACAGTCCTCCTGCATAGAGGGGCTTGCTATATTCTTCACATGTGGAAGACGGGTTGTTGTAGATCGCAGTTTAAAAGGTTCCGGTGTATCAAAGAGCACTGTCCAGTCTCCTGAATGTGTAACTCCTTAGTCGTATCCTATGTCACTAGGGTCGAGTGGTGACAAAGTGCTTATGTATTTAAGTTCCTTACAATATTCTGTGTTACTGATGGAGATCTCTCTTGCCATCAGATGCCAGTAACGATCCCGGTGAACTACACGGCTAACAACTCGGAGCCTGAACAGCGCGTAGCATACTTCCGCGAGGACATTGGCATCAACCTCCACCACTGGCACTGGCACTTGGTGTACCCCTTCGACTCCGCTGACCGTTCCATCGTCAACAAGGACAGGCGTGGAGAGCTCTTCTATTATATGCACCAGCAGATCATTGCTAGGTTGGTATAAATAATTGGCTTTGTTTGTAGAATCTTAGGAGTTCCACAATTTGTTTTGAACTTGGCAGTAAAGAAAGGCTTTCTTGTAGGCAAATTCTGTTTCCGTAGTTTTTGAGTTAACCAGGAACAGACGTCCGACGGAGTCTTTCATCGCATCTGTCTATTTTTTTTACCGATATCATTCTCACTGTCCAGGGATCAATACTGCGAGATCAAGTAAATTGTCTATTACGACACAACATAACATAACATAACATCACGCCTTTTATCCCCGAAGGGGTAGGCAGAGGTGCACATTATACCACTGTATAAAGTAACACCCACTTTTCACTATTTATGTTATGAGTCCCATGTAATAGGGGGTGAGCCTATTGCCATATACCGGGCACAATTCCAGACTCCGTGCTACTACTGAGATTTTTTTTAAAACCCAGTAATACTTTGCCCGACCCGGGAATCGAACCCGAGACCCCTTGCCCAGCAGTCGCACTTGCGACCACTCGGCCAACGAGGCAGTCTATTACGAGTTTCCTTTAATTGTCTAGTATGTATTGTATAATATACCTAATCTTGATAAACTTTGCAGGTACAATATGGAGCGTATGTGCAACGGCCTGTCCCGTGTGGCGCGCTACCAGAACTTCCGCGAGCCCATCGAGGAGGGATACTTCCCCAAGCTCGACTCACAGGTCGCCAGCAGGGCCTGGCCGCCTAGGTATACAGCACCTCCTTACTTAATATCTAAGTACACACATAGACAGCCTGTGCGAGATTCCATTACTGATTTATGCGCCTCTCCTAAAAACGAAGGGTTTGTTATAACCTTGGCGGGCGGTTTGGTGATCGTAGACTAAAAAATTCAGGTTTATTTGAAAGCGCTGCTGTTCGGCCTGTTTTAAATATGTAGTGCCTTCACCGGCTTTTATGACCCCAGCAGGAAGAACACTTAGAGTCGTCCATCTAAGCAACATCAAAATAATAAGCTACCTATTTCTTACACTCTTCAACCATGGTACCATGGCATCAGGTTTGCCGGCACTACCATCCGTGACCTGGACCGTCCCGTGGACCAGATCCGCGCCGACGTGTCGCAGCTCGAGACCTGGAGGGATCGCTTCGTACAAGCTGTTGAAACTCTCTCCGTCACACTGGTTAGTGTATGCAAAAATAAACTTTATTCTTAGTGTTTATAAGAGAGAGTTTTTGAGAGCGCGGTAATCTCTATCGCCCTTCTTTTAAGGTGGTTTTCCTACTGGCTCCTAACTCTTGACTTATTAGTGGAACTATAATATGTTACTTACTTCATTTTTGGTTACATACATTATCAGGCTTTTGGATTTTGGAACTTCTGGTTAGGCGTAACAACTATTGTCTATCATTAGCGACTGGACGTCTGGTACTGAACATAGGCCTCCTCCAATAACTTCCAGACAGGCCGGTTGGAAGCAGCCTGTATCCCGTAGTGCTCTGTACTTGTACCTTGTATTTATACTTTAGCTGAAGACCAAAAAGAGAACATATAGGTACTTAATCCAGTTTGTATTTGTCTTCAGGCCAACGGACGTCAAATGCCATTAGACGAGGAGCGCGGTATCGACATCTTGGGCAACATGATGGAGTCGTCCATCATCAGCCCCAACCGACCTTACTACGGGGACCTCCACAACATGGGACATGTCTTCATCTCATACTCACACGACCCTGACCATCGCCACCTGGTAATATAGCCTATAATCTCTTATGTTGCATTTAGATTAAAGTTGTAGTTAATTTTTTTGGTTTTAAAGATGAATGGAAGAAAATGTTTAAATCTTCTTATGATAAGCATTTTCAAAGTACCTCTACTAGATGTTGAACAGCATCCGAAACATCTACTAAAAGAATTGAAGACTTTATTTTAAATGCACCTTTTGTGCTGTCTAAATAGCACCACTGTTTATTCTGTTTCCGCAGTTAGATGTTTTTTCTCCAATGGAGAACTACGAAGAAAGCATTTTACTGACCCACTATATAAGGCACAAGTCACCGATGTTGTTTTGTCATGCAAATCTGACCCGTATTACTATTACCTGTAGGAACATATAACACATTCTGGTTGGTTTCTGGTATCATCAATTTGTCACACAAAACTAACCCATTTTCCTATCTTCTGTAGGAGCAATTCGGCGTGATGGGTGACTCAGCCACAGCGATGCGTGACCCAGTGTTCTACCGCTGGCACTCGTACATCGACGACCTGTTCCAGCTCTACAAGTACAAACTCAACCCGTACGGAGATGACAAGGTATTGTTTTGGGCTACATAGCTCTGTAATATTTATGTATGAAAATATTCAGAGGTTCGTAAACGATAGGAGATTTGGGGATTAGGGGATATCCATTACTTGTTAGCTTATACCTACACTCACGTTTTTAGTTAAGTAAGACATAATTTGGAGGTGTCAAAATATAAGAGGTCCTTATAGCCTCTTGTAGTTTGATATAGTATTCCATGGGTTTTTCTCTTGTTTTTCATTTATACGATTCATTTAAAAGCTTTAACTGTAATGATTACTTAACTCAATCCTTAGTCCATTTGTTTTCTGCACAAAATTATCGAATTCGGTAAAGTGTATAAAAATTAGTGTATAAAACATTATCGAAACTATGTACATTTGATGTCCAGCTGGACTTCCCCGGCGTGCGCGTGTCGAGCGTGGGCGTGGAGGGCGCGGCGGGCCGCAACACGCTGGGCACGTTCTGGGAGCTCAGCACCGTGGAGCTCGCCCGCGGGCTCGACTTCACGCCGCGCGGCTCCGTGCTCGCGCGGTTCACGCATCTACAGCACCAGGACTTCACCTACGTGTACGTACTTCACTAATTTACTTTACGGTACACAGCCAAAGGACTATGTAGTCAGAAAAGCGAACAGACACGTTACCTACCACCTACGGTTTATGATTAACGAGTAATGTGGCAGATGAGACCGACACGATTCCCGTGCGGATAATATTTCCTGTTCAGATGGCAGTCATAAGGTTATGACTCAATAATCCAGAAAAAACTAACTGACAAATTGTTAATAATGTATGACACTACACTATAATTGGATAACATAACATAACATCACGCCGTTTATCCCCAAAGGGGTAGGCAGAGGTGCACACAGTTGTAACACCCACTTTTCACTATTAATGTTATGAGTCCCATGTAATAGGGGGTGATCCTATTGCCGTATACCGGGCACATTTCCAGACTCCATGCTACTACTGAGATTTTTAAAAACCCAGTAATACTTTGCCCGACCCGGGAATCGAACACGAGACCCCTTGCCCGGCAGTCGCACTTGCGACCACTCGGCCAAGGCACTTCAATATTAATATGTTCAACAAATAAATTGTACTGTCCTCCTCCAGTATCGAGGTGAACAACACGTCAGGTCAGTCCGTGATGGGCACGGTGCGTATATTCATGGCGCCCGTACAGGACGAGAATGGCGCGCTACTGTCGTTCGACGAGCAGAGACGAGGCATGATCGAATTAGACAAGTTCACTACTGGATGTAAGTATATCTTGATTATGAGCCATTTGTAACTCCTCTGGTGTTGCGGGTGTTGTTTGCCCCCCCCTTTCTCATGCCGTAGGCAATATGCTCCATTCTTGGAACAGCGATTTTTTTTCTGCGAAAGCCCAGAGCGTCCTTTGCTGGACTATAGATCTCCCCTGTAAAATAAAAGCGATCGAACATAACTATAGATTTCCATGACTATAATATTTCCTTTGATTAACTTATAATAATGGTAATGTTATTGGTTCCAGTACGTCCGGGTAACAACACGATCCGTCACCGCAGCGTGGACTCGTCCGTCACCATCCCGTACGAGAGGACCTTCCGTGACCAGGTACACTAACATTCTTTATTATATCCGCCCCTGTTGAACAAAATGTTCCCCTTCTTCGAAAAGTTCTAAAGACTTGATCTTCTTTAGCTTATGTCCAAGAATAAGGAATTTATAAACACTTAACACATTGGATGCCATGTTGGACAATGATGACCGACGCTAACGGAGGCTTAACCTTTAATAGTTTTAATCGGCAGTTAAAGGCTTAAATGAATGTAGACTTCGACTTTATGAAAGTAATTTCGTCTTTATATCCAACTAGCTTTTACCCGCGGCTTTCGCGTCACAAAAGAATAAAAAGTAGCCTATGTGACATATACACACAGTGCCATACCAATACTTTTGTTTTTCCTCGGGAATATCAATTTTTTCCGGGTTAAAAAGTACCCTATTATTTAATCCGGACTTCTAACTTTACGTCTGCAAAAATTCAAAGCAATCGGTTGAGTAGTTACGGCGTTAAGGTGGAACAAACAAACAAACAAACTCACTTTCAGATTTATAATATTAGTAAGGATTTATTTAAGACTTGACTTTACAGCTGGTGGAAGAGTGTTTACATATTTCTGGAGTCGTGGTTCTCCACAGTTTGTGCATATCTCTGTACGCTACTATATATTCCAGTCGGTCCGTCCGGGCGACCCTGGCGCGGAGGAGTCTGCCGAGTTCGACTTCTGCGGCTGCGGCTGGCCACACCACATGCTGGTCGCCAAGGGGAACCAGCAGGGGTACCCCGTCGTACTCTTCGCCATGGTCTCCAACTGGGCCGAGGACAGGGTACGTATACAAATAGTGTAATCCTCTAAGTAACTTGAAGGGTTGGACTTTGTGGTTAAAGTACAAAATATGAAGAGTTAGTGCTGTTACGGAAGGAAGCATTATCTTATTTCAAAAGTTACATAGTTTCTCAGAGGTTAGACCATTAAGTATTTTTACACCTTTTTATGGCATAACAAGATAGTGTGGAATTCATACCTTACTGAAACCTTCCCGGTGGCCATTATTTCTTTTATAACCAATCGACTACGAGCACTACGTTTAGATGAATGTTGGATCCTATCATTGATTGTAAATATTTTTAAACTTACCCATATATTAACTAAATGGCCGATTGCGAATTTGTTCATACAAAAGTGATTTCTAAACATCGGAAATAAGGTCTATAATGGAGTTAGGGGAGAGCGGTTACCGATGATCGCTTGGAGATTGACCAGTTATTAGCACCTGTAAAGAGTATCTGGTCCTGTTATTGGCGCCGCGGGCTGTCAACGCTTGTTACGGCACATCACTGAGGAGAGAGATTGGTGTCTAGAAATAATTTAGTCTTCATACATAGGCTAGCAACGCACTTATCATCACATTTCTTCATCAACGTATCCCAACACTAACCCTGGCCATCTCAATTACAGATCGAACAAGACCTAGTAGGCTCCTGCAACGACGCCGCCTCGTACTGCGGTATCAGGGACCGTAAGTACCCGGACCGTCGGTCTATGGGCTTCCCCTTCGACCGTCCATCCGCCGCACAGAGTCTGTCCGACTTCCTGCGTCCCAACATGGCCGTGCAGAACTGTTCTATCCGGTTCACCGACACTACCATCCCAAGGCAGCAAAGACGGTAGGTTCTACGAGTATGAGGAAAAGGAGTAAGGGGTGAGAGGACAAGTTGATAGGATATGATTAGTCTCCTTAATAGAAAGATTTAAATTGATTGTGAATTGTAAACATCTTTGAGGGTTTATGCCCCTTCTCCTATTCATTTATTTATATCCAGTAACATCATTACAATACATTATCCTACACACAAGGTGTAGGGAAAGCGTAAGGTACTTATCTGTAAGGTTCTAGGTTAGCAACATAGATGGCGCTATTATACAAAACCGAATTAACAAACTTATTTTAGAAAATGAAGTATAAAACCAGGCTATTCTTACAAATATTGATAATTCAGTACATAAGAGAAGTCTAGACAATAAACATAATTAAGCTATTGTACTAGTGGTGCCATCTATACGTGGTTAACTGAACTGTTGGGTGTGTAGGTCTGCCTCGGTTTCTTCCGATTCGTCTGATACGTCCAACTCATCCAAATCGTCGGCTTCGTCTGGTCAAGCCGATCACCACAAGCCGTGTGGCTGTCCTGACGAAACTATTACTCCTGCTGAACTAGCAGCTATCATAAAGAAGCCATATTACGCTGACAAGTGCAAACCTGTTAGACATTACGATTATATTTTTACACCCAATCCTATTGACAAAAAGATGAGCACTCTGAAAAAGCTATAAGGACCCATATTCTTCCAATATACCTAATTATTTATGTCATAATTTATTTCGAAAAGCTACAGTTATATTCTAAAGTATCCTAAACTAGTTTGGAGGCAGATTTACAAATCCAAAGAGATATTCTCACTTTTATATTATTCATCAATCGTAATATTGTTTAATGTAAATTTTAGAAGGTCTGTAACCAATTTCATTCGTTCCTTAGTAGGAACTTTCTTTGTATCATGCACACTACAAAGGGAAAATCTTTGATAAATAATTTTGTGTAATTTTAATTGTATTATTTAATACAATATTGTAATATTGTATGTAGCTATGTAAACTTAATCGCCTTATCTTGTTCTGTATTGTTGTTACTGGTCGACTTGGCATTCATAAAGGATTCTGATTCTGGTTTTAATTATATAGGTAAGTGTAGTTATAAGTAAACGGGTCTGTAAATATACTAAGTAGTTGTTAGTTTTATTGTACATATTGTGTAAATACTTGGATTCTTAAGACTGAATAAATTAGCCTTTTACCAAATGTTTTGTTTTATTATCATCTTCATTCAATCATTGAACATTTTTGTTCAAGCATTTCGATGAGGAATGCTTAAATGATCGAGTTAAATATCCTCACCGACTGCAGTAGCACCGTGTGCTAATAGGGTTACCTCCTAGATATTAAATACACGGAACTTAAAACATAACTGATGAAAGGTACATGTAGGTAAGGCCCTTCAGGGTGCTTACTCTTGAACCCAATCTCAATGTCAATGCAATTTCAATCCAATAAAATCTCAATAGTTATTCAATGTCAAAACTATACAACCTCTATCGTAGCTGTTAAAATAGCATCAGAGAACGGAATATAAAGCCAAACTCAATACTATTTAGTTCATTCAATATCCACGTAATACGGATGCAATGGGCGCTAGTGTTGCAACTCAAGAGGAGAAGGATTCAAGAGTAAGCCCCCAGTTCTGGGATCCATCATGATCATTCAGGATCATTAAGGTGAACGGTCATCTTAAAATGTATCTATACTAAAAATAAAGCGATTATTATAATACTTCTCCAATGTTAATGGTAATTAAATAAATATTAAAAAACGATAACGTCCCGTTGCATAGTTATTGTTATTGTGAACAGTTGACTTGTTACTTTCTTCAAACTATTGGTGGGTGAGGTCGACCGTCATTTACTGGCCGTCGTGATGAAGACGCAGGTGAGCGAGTTCAAAATATTCTCGTGACAGTTTAGGAGTTTGTGAAACTGTGACTTTAAGTGGGTGGTGGTCAGACAAATAAGATTTTTGTGGTGTGGCAAAACGTAAGTAATTTTTTTAAATTTATGTGTGACAAAAACATTAAGTTGATTTTACGAATGATTTAGAAGACATGCCTTAGTTTTTGTAGCAGGTCCTCACAAGTGCTGTTGTCGCACTTTCGAGTTCGGTTCCCAGGTTGTGCAACGAAAAATTGTTTTAAAATATATTTTAACCATAACTATCTGCTACACATAGTGCTTAAATTTAATCAGAGATCCGAAAGTTTGATAACGTTTTTTCTTTTCGGTACCTATCGGTGTTTTGTGTGAAAATAAATAGATATTTATTTAAAGGTTACCAATAAAGCATACACCAAAATACATGATAGGCTTTTAACATATTTTAACACTGTATAGTGTAGCCTTAATAAAAGGCTGCCACGACATGCATTAAAAAAAAAAACAGGATATTACAGCAAAAAGTTCGGTTAGGTATCAAAAAAAAAAAAATCTTAATAAGTAATACTTGTTAGATCACAATTGTTAAATTTTAATTTTAATATATAGTGCAGTTTAACTCTGTGTGTGCTACGCAGGACAGTTTTCACCTTAAAAAGAGAGTAGGATATTTCAATATCCACATTATATTAAGTGAGCATGATAAACCTGAAACACAGGCTTGGACCTAGTTCAGGTTTCACATATTTTTAGACTTTGTTTAGATATTAAGATTTATTTTGTAATCTGGCTTTTTACACTAAATAAACATTTTATTATTATTTTTTATTATGTCCGACGCTAGCGGAGGATTAGCCTTTAACAGTTTTTGTCGGCAGTTACAGGCTTAAATTCTAGAACTTACTCAATATATTTTTATAATCTAAGCATTATACAACAAATCGGCAGTCTGTACAGTTGGATGGTGCCGCACGTATCATCAATTAATACTTTACCTACTCATCCATATTATGAACATAATTATGAAGGGTTCTATACTTAGCCAGTGATGACACTGGCTGAGCCAATCATGCTCCAATTGCTGTACCTACTACTATCATATTTTTATCCTATTTATATTTTTGAATAGAAGTGGTATAAAATATAGTAGGTAGAAATTCTTTATTTCTTCTTTGGACTTTTTCTAAGCCGTTGTAACAGTTTTACTGAAAGGGAGACAGAAAAAGGTCACATAACATAACATCACGCCTTTTATCCCCGAAGGGGTAGGCAGAGGTGTACATTATGCCACTGTTCAATGTAACACCCACTTTTCACTATTTATGTTATGAGTCCCATGTAATAAGGGGTGAGCCTACTGCCATATACCGGGCACAATATAGACTCCGTGCAACTACTGAGATTTTTTTTGAAAAACCCAGTAACACTTTGCCCGATCCGGGAATCGAACCCGAGACCCCTTGCCCGTCAGCAGTCATATTATTGAAATTTCATATTACAGAAAAAGGTCATATTATTGAAATTGAATAAGTAGTGTTGTTGTTGTACTTTAGGTAGTAGTCGACTTCGATATGTATTGTTTTGATACAATCAAGTTTACTCAATATTGTTTGTCTCCTGTACAGATCTTGGTCATAAAGCTTCGTATTATCGTCACATCCTAACTGGTAATTCATGAGCAATACTTTATGAAACTCAGCGAACGTAGCGTTAGATCAGAACATATATATTTCATAGCCGCGCTACCTCTAACATGGGGTTCATATAAAATGTATGAGGCATGAGGCGATTCTCCAGATTTCTGTGATGAAATTCGCTACATTTTCAGCTATATAGATGTAACTTTATTTCGAAATCTAAAACAGATATACATTTCAAATTTGGTAGTTATGACTTGACTGTAGCCAGTAGAAAGTAGTATTGGACATAAAATAATTGTAGTGCCATTTCGACTTATTGATAAATCGTTGTCAATTTCAGATCCTGCTCCTATTGCTAGTGGCGCTATCTACGCTGTGTTATGGCAGCCACAATGATAGGAATCATGGCCGCTATCATCACCCCTACGACTACCACCACAGAAGACATGACTCATCAGAAAGACATCGACACCACAATAACCACGACTTTCCAGATAGTTCAGAAGATATATCACAAGATATAAATTCTAGTCGTCCTCCACGCAGTGAATTGGAAAATCTTGTTGTAGATCTAAAGCCTAAAAAGGATCCAATTAAAGACGATATTCCAAATAGTAACAAATCAGTAATGGACACAGACAATGATAAAAAGGATCATGATATGGATAAAGGATATAGTGGAATAAGAGTAGATGATATGTCATTAGATAATGTCGAATCTAACAAAGTGGATGGCGACGCTGGAAAAAATGTAAATGGAATACCACTAAACTCAAACCATTTGATAAAGAGCGATGAAACCATTAGCGGTAACAGATTTTCACCATTAAAAGATAGTAATGTAGGAAATAATATGGAATCTAATTTAAGAGACCTTCAGTTAGGTGAAAATACAGGCGATAATTTAGGAGGTAACTTGGGTTTTCCCTTGGTCAATAAACCAGGTTTGCGCTTAGGAGGTAACTTGGGCTTTCCTTTTGGCGGTAATATAGGAGTCAATTTAGGAAGTTACCCACGATTCCCGCCTTTTGGTGTTAAAGATTTTCATACCATTCCATATCTTCACTTAGGAGGCAACCGTGGCAACTCTTTAGGAGGTTACTTAGGTCTCCTACGAAGTAGCAGTTCAGGTGTCAATTTAGGGACTAACCAGGATCTTGCTTTAGGTGATCAATCTAGTGTTCATTTCGGAGATAATTTAGAAAAACCTCTAGGAAGGAATATAAATGGCAACACAAAAGGAAATAATTTGGACTCAGCTTCACTTAGTATAAATAGCCGTTCAAGTCTAGAAGATTTAATTGATAATGAAAATAAACGTAATGAGAAAAATACTATCGAAGTTGTCAATGAAGAGCCTACTTTAAATCAAAATCACCGGCAATCCGATGATATGGTCAACATAGAACAGAATAGTAAAACTATAGATAATATTAGAACTGAAGGCAATGACCCTGTAAACGCTGATGAACTATTACTAGATGGTGA